CTGTATAAAAATACCCGAGGACGCGTCATAACAGGGCACGGTTGGATGCGCGCACTAGCGTAACATAGCTTTGGGGAAATAGGCATAGCAACCCGCCATATCTCTTTAATAATTGTCAAAATTAATGTTTCAGCAACAACTCAATAAAAAAATAATAATAGATGAACGACTTTAGATATTGAGAGTAGCAGTATTGCATTAATTTATATAAATGAACCACGGACTATATGCGGGTAAGCATATCGTACCAAGTCTGCCTCCTGCCAAGTGACGAAGACAAACTTATCGCTGTCAATGTCCAAAACCATAGGCCTACGTTTCTTCGTGACGGTTCTGTGGTTGACGTTCATAGTGAAAGTTCAGCCAGACCGTCCAAATAGCGATAACGGGACGTTGGGAGAATGAAATATTTTCCGACACTTTGACAGATCTTGTTTTGGTTTCACGACCTGGACACTCAACGGTGTGACGTCGAAACGATATCGAGCGTCTGTAGCAATTTTGCCTGAAACTAGCGATCAAATCTTTAAGTATCATCTTCTTTTAATTTTCCCTTAATAACCCCCTTTTCCACATAGCCTCACAAAGTCACCAACATTTGTCGGATGTTGACAGCAGACAACGTAAACAAAACAGCATGTGGCAAAAAGCGCATGGAAAAAGTCGTCCCGGTCAAAGTTCATCTTCTCGACCAATCAAAACTCTTGAAGGTCATATACCACATGTGGTTTATAACTCATACACAGCGTATTGTGGTAGAAAAGGTTATATAATTACCAGAGACAAACTCGGAGTTTTTCACATTCGATGATTTATTCGGTAATTATTTCACGGATTTCGTGCATTTCTCTCGATTTACCAAAACTGGAAACCAGAGGAAAGTAGGAGGTTGTTTACTGAATTAGCCTTGACCATTAGTAGTACTTATACAGTAGTCAATATACAAAATATTGTTACATTTTGTGATGGAGTCACGTGTATCTCTCGTCGTAACTTTCATGAAGGTCTAAGCGTCGTGACCAGTATTGCGCGCCTTTTCAGTTATAGAACTGGTATGTGAATGACGTTTTACAATTTATTAGTCAATGGTTGCATTGATAGCTGAAGTCAACATTAACCCAAAGATGGATCTTTAATTACAAGTTTGAAGGTAACTACTTTCAACATATTTTTTATGATTCAACGTTGCATGACTTTCATGTGCATGTCATTCATTTATGTATCTACCTATCAGAAGGCACGGTAGTCTAGTGGTAGGACGCCGGGCTCGTGACCAAACGGTTGCGGGTTGGAGTCACGTCACGGCACTGTGTTGTATCTTTAAACAAGATACTTCACTTTGCTTGTTCCAGTCTACTCAGCAAATGGCAGCACCGGCTGTTTGCTCCCCGTGAAGTTGAGAAATATATTCACCGATATTAATTTGTGAACCGCTTTGAGACGACCTACAACCAAGGTTGTGATAGAGCGAGATATAAGAACCTCGGATTATCTTTATAATTATTTCAAACAAATCTTCAATTAACTAATCAGATAAAAACTCTCGAAAACTCTCGCAACCATTTATTCCTAGTTATTCTTTAGTCTTTTATACCATTAGTTTCCCCTTCAATAGTGACATTGCGTTGCTTTTTCTGTAGTCTCGAAAAAAATCGGTTTTGCTATTGAAAAAGTAGTGACAGAATACTGTATATCGGGAAACTTTCGCTCAGTCAAATATTTGCCCTTCACTGTTAAAATCTATATTCGTCTAGCTTAGAGGTCATTTAAGGACGTATCTTCATGTGTTTATGTGTGCAGGATACAGGGTATGTTAGTGTATGTGTCTCCTTGTGATAGCGCGGATCTGATGCCGACATTTAAGTGGTATCTCAATGCAATACCATGCCGAAGGCACCCAACACATCATACCGCACGGTCGCATTATACTGACAACGGGTGAACCAGTTGTTGCGATTCCCATTAATGCTGAACGTTAAACAGGGAAAAACCATCTACCATTTTAAAGGACTTTGGTAATTCCCGGCCTGGGAACATAACCCATTGCCTTCCTCACCTGGGCGAGAGTTCAACTTGACATTAGGCCAAAAGTGAACAGATTTTTCACCATCGTGACTCTAACCGGAAATCAGACACTGGATAATAATACAATTTTAATTAGAATAGAGTACGGACAAGAATATCCGGAAGTTTATTTTTTATATCAAAAATGTGAATTAATACTTATTTGTTAATATATATGTAAGACGAATACTGATACTTGATAGAATATTTTGAACAGTATGTACATTATTTAAAGGCGATTCTAGACGCCCATGTACATTGTATGGATAATTATATATATGGTTATGTCTGAAAATTTTGAAAATATAATAAAAAAAATAAAAAATAAAAAAGCCAAAAGTGAGGTGTTGCTAAGTAAGGCAACATTTCACATGAAATTGATGTATAGAATTTGATGTATACTGATTCTGGCTGTCATGATAAATTCGCCTTTATTGCGGAGGGCGAAAAAGTCGAAAAATTTCCGGTACAGTATATTTGTAGTATGATAGTATAATATCAGCTATACATGACGAGCTGTTGTTTGCGCCATAAACTGATATTGGGTAATAGGCCGAACTAATTATGCCAAAGTCGCATGTTTGTTTTGTGAGCGGAATCGCTAATAAATTATTACCTCCCGCAAGACGATACCTTTATTAGACCTTACTGAACAAGTTTGGTTCTCCTGGTATCTCTTCCTATCCCAACTTCTTCACCATCAGCTGGTTATCTCATAATACCTTTCTATCTTTATGCACTGTCTTATGCCCCCGGATCTTATCAATCTTTCCATCTTCAGAAGATGTGTGCGTCTGTATCGATGTTCGACTTCGACAAAAAAACATAGATACAATTTTTGGGTTTTGACTTAGCAAAAACGCCGCAGGTCGCCGAAAGCATTTAAAAGCGAGACAGACGATGCACGTTTTTAAAACCTAAATGATTGATTTGCATAGTAAGAATAGCAAGCTTGTAATTTAAATGCCAGACTATGACGCACTTCCGATTGATATTGTTACATGTCGTGAACATTTAGCATAAAGTAGGCATTTTAAAATCCATTTTTATCAAATTAAGTATTAAAAAAAATAAACTGGAAACAAAATTGAATTTATCGATTTGGATTGACTCGTATCAAATAGAAACGAAAATGTTCTGAGTAGAGGTTTTCAGGCATTCGTTCATCTTCATTGCAAACTCATCTTTTGAGGCAGGCATCTGATAATCTATATTGGTATTTGAAAACAAACTGCAAACATGATCATCTGCTTTCACTTGTGCTAGCCCTTTGACGCCATCCAACCTGCGTGAATCTAACATGGTGGTATTCATACGGATAGGCATAATCGCAGCGGTTCCAAATATATCATATAGCGTACTTATAATGGCGTTTTTGACACTTCAAATACTTTTGTGACATTTCTGCCATTGCTTTTAAGATAAAAAAAACCCATACAGTGTTGAATCTTTCGCGGATAAGGTTCATACCGCTGAAACAGCCGAGAGCCTCCGTCGATGCATAACACGGAACACGACATCCTACATGTAGGTAGGAGCGCCTATTCGGGTTCTGTCCCAGTCAATCAACTGTTCAGAATCCATTACGAGGACAGATTTTGGCGCGATTTGCTTTATTTGTGTTACCGAGTACAAGGTATACCACTCCCGTCCGTGGAATTTATGACATATGTTGACATGAGCTATAAACTACCAATCAGAAAGGTGTAAATAAAAAGGTTTATTTTTTTGTAAGTTTGGTTTGGCTAACTATGTTTTAGCGTCAATTTAATTCGCTAAAGTCATTTGCCTTCATGTGTGTAATGTATGCGTTTGTGCTAGAGGTGCTATTTGTCTCTTTGTGACAGCACGGATCTGATGCCGACTTTCGAGTGTTACATCACTGAAATGCCATTTCGGAGGCACCCCGTACAGTACTCCACCCGTTCAAATTATATATCAGCGATGGGTAAACCAAACGCTGCCGTTACTCTAAAGGCTGAAAAGCACGTAATAACAAGTAGCTTTTAAAAGACGTTTGCATGTTTCGCTAATCTGTTGGCTTTAATATTGTATGAAACACGGAATTGATTGTAAGCACATTACTATGAACTATATATAAAACTTTATCTTAAATATATCTTTATTGAGTAATGTTTTTTTTAATTTTCCAACATTTTTTAGAAGAGAAAAAGTACATTAAGATAAATCAGTAAAGAGCGATTGGAGTAACGGGATACTAAGCAGATACACGATACAACGACAGAGCTACAGAACCTCAGGGTCACAAGATTATTTGTAACGGCTAACCCCGGCACGCAATCTTATTCTTTGTCACAACATCCGTAATCCGTTGTCACGTGATCAGATTAGAAGTATGCTTCTCTGGCAACCTGACAAGATTAGGTGCGTTGACTATTTCCGAGATGATCAAGTGTATGTATATACTCTTACGAGTCTTGTATAACGATCCTAATTAACAGTATGCCCTAATGCATGGTATATTTGTACAATATAGGGTCTTAAAAATAAATCTGACCACGGTAATTTAACCAGATCACAGAAGCCAATAAGATCATAACACAAGGCCGTTTACTCAAAAACACACGAGGGATTAGACAATGTTGTGTCCGCAAAGGTACCCTGGTCAAAGCACAAATGTCATGGATGCTGTTCAGATGGAATTAAAATACAAAAAATGCACTTTTCAATTTTAGCTGTTAGCTGTTTGTGAGTTTATGTCATTCCATTTTTTTATTATTCAAACGGTGTCCACAGGGCAATTATAAAATCAATTTAAATTGCCACCAGATCTAAATGTTGCAATTTAGACCCGCTAAGGGTACACGCATAAAGCATATGATAGAAAGACAGATACTTGTGATAGACGAAAATAAATAGCTTCTAAAGGCTATGTTGACCTAGCTAAGGAATTTACTCGTCTTATATTTTGTCAGAAGTGCCATGGCGTCGTTTACCACGATCCCGGAGTTTTACCAGGACAAGTGTGTCTTCATCACGGGGGCCACAGGTTTTATGGGCAAAGCCCTACTGGAAAAACTGCTGAGGTCATGTCCGGACATCCGGCGGGTCTACATCCTCATCAGACCCAAAAAGGGCAAGGAAGTCAGCCAGAGACTCGAAGAGCTACTCAACTCTGAAGTAAGTACATTAAGGCGTCAGGGGTAAACGAAAATTTGGTTCCGCATAGTCATGAACTAAACCCAGCTTCATTATGCATTATGAGCATATTCAGAGCCGAGACGAAAATGTCTTATTAAAACGTGTACACCTCAATTTGTACAGACCAATGCAGATTTATTCAAAAGTTTTTGAGGGTTAAATAGTACTTCAGTCAATTTGAGTTTAGTAAAGGTGATTTCTTAAAAACACGTATCACAACTTGTTCAATGATCTATTTCTATGCTGTGTACTTTTGGACGTACAAGATATGACAAAAATAGAAATTTTAGTACAAAATCATTTAGTCTTTCCATAAGGTGATCAGAATGGGATGTGACATACAAAACACCATAAATGAAATCTTTTGTTGTTAAAGATATTCCAAAAGTTAAACAAGGAAAACAACGACTTCCGGTCTAAGATAGTCCTGATAACTGGAGACATCGTCCACGACAACCTGGGAATGAGCGAACAAGATGAACAGACGCTGATTGACGAGGTTTCTGTCGTCTTTCATTCAGCAGCCACTGTTCGATTCGACGAGGAGTTAAAGTAAGTAACGATGTAAATATTGTCAAAGATTCGCTACAATACAAATACCTAACATGTACAAGTAACAATTAAACTGTCTGTTAATAAACGTTCTTAATTTAACATCGCAATATGAAGAGTACATTCGACTAAATTCGATCATTGTCTTGCGTGTTATTTTTATACGTGGACAATAGTTTTTGTGTTGGTCCGGAACCGGATGTTTCCGCAATATTTTTTTCTGTAGTACGTCCGTGGTGCTTTAAAACAGTCATAGAGATGAGAAAACTTGATAGGGCTTCGATCTTATGTCAAAGTCTTTTCACTTGTTCAGTCAGCTTTTCTCAATCAGACAACATTTTGCTCGAGTGGTCATCTGAATATATTGGGATGGCAAACATGTCTCTATTTATTTTGATGAGTTCAATCAAATGTGTGTGTCTTAATGCTCATCTTTTAAGATACAAGGTGGTAGACTCTTCTGTTGTATTACTTAGTCCTATATGTTTGCCGTTACCTTGATGGCAAGCTATTTCTCTTGATTTGTTGTAGGGTTCATCATATACACACTTTACTCAATATTAATATAAATCATCATTCCTTTAAGTTTTATAATTCATATCATAAGGGTTTATATGTACCTGCTTTTCTGTCCCAATGTTAGTTTAGACCAAATTGGATTACCAGAAGGACGAAGACTAGCGACATGGTGCAGTGAAATTCAATTCACTTACCAAATTCTATAGGGTCCATCTTAAGTTCATCTTTAGATATTTAGGGAACCGGATGGGTTGATACATCTCTTTTGGCTATGTAGCTATGGATGTGGTTTGATATCGTTGCTCCTGGATTTCACTTTGTGTTTTCGTCTTTGTTATTTCGGCGTCAAGAACAATTATCTTGTCTTCGTAAACAAGGAAAACACATTATCCGAAAATTAAGAATGTAATCTTAATGTCTCTTCCTGCTAAATCCGTACTGCAAAATGTGCTGCATTGAGTTATGCTGTTTTGTTCTTCAATCAATTATGTAGGTTTATTTTTATCAATTTAATTATACAGTGATGTATTTACAGATTTGCATCAATCGCGGCGTTAATATCGACACAACCATAACGTCTGATAGCGAACGCTGTATTTTTTTATTATTATTATTATTCATTCAACACAAACCTCATTAACGGTCGCTATGACCCTGTGTTGGAGGACGTGTGAACCTGCTGCACTGATGCCAACGTCGAACGCTTCCTCATACTGAATGGTTCGATTAGTTAACACCGGCAGTTTTCATCATTCGATTAGACCTGTCAGGTTACCTTGGGGCTAGATGCTGTAGCGTTTAAAAAAACGAAACGCATTTAAACATCAAAGTCTCGACTTACTACTTCTGTCCTAACTTGAATTGAAAGTACCTGTATTAAGCAGAGAGGCAGGAGGTGTAGCTTTATATGGAGAAAAAACTACGTCCCTTCTTCTTATACAAGAAGTATCTCATATGCCAAGCCATATGCTTCTATGTACTACTGTAAACAATTTGAGGCTAAATAAAGATGACTAATGCGAACGTTTTGTTTTTATTTTGTGTTTTAAAATAGCTCTGGGCATTTTTATTCTCTCTTTTTCAAATTTTTTTTTTTACAAACCTCTGCAAATGTTGCTTTTAAAATTTCTGATAAAGAAAACGTCGATGTTTGCATCCTAGACATCCAGTATATAGTATTGAAAATAAGTAATCGATACTTTACTACTACTACTACTACTACTACTACTACTACTACTACTACTACTACTACTACTACTACTACTACTACTACTACTACTACTATTA